AGCAGGAGTAAACTCTGGCTTTGTGTGCAACTAAGGAGTACAACTTAACCTCTCACCATACTGTATCTGTAGGTACTCTATGGTAGCAACTGGAACCAGAATGATCTTTTTAATACCAGCCGTTACTGTAGCATAGCTTATAAAAAATGATCAAATACAAAGCGATTGATAAGCTGCATAAAACGTATTTGATTATTGTAGCAATGGGATAGAGGAGGCACTAGAAGAATCGTCTCATGAACCTGAGCCAGAACTGGAATCTGAAACAAAAACCGAGGAGCTGAAAGCTGAAGTAGAAGAAAAGACCCTTGAGGAGCTAGAAGAGAAGTCTCCATCTCCACCTCCTGTAGAACCTGTTTCACTACCACAAGAACCACCAAAGGTTAGTTAAAAGTCGTATCTGTGCTTCTAGGTAAACCAGGAGATTTGGTTTTGAACTGAGCCTTTCTGAGTGGCCACACTGGTACATTTTTCAGTGTCATGCTGTATGAACACTCAAGCTTGAACCTTGACCTCGTAAACATGTGAAGTTTCACTAAAAAAGGAAAAAATGCTATTTTTAAGTGCTGCTCAAGTCACCTATCTTAAATTTAATGGTCTGTTTGTAAAGTAAAGTGTGTTTGTGTGTGGTTTTAATGCATGTGTAAACCTTTTTAATTGTGGAGTTAACATATGTTAAGAAAACACCTCAAGCTACCACCAACAAAAATCTCATACAATGGGAACCACTGCTCTTCCTTGATAAAAAAAACCAAACATAATGCATTAACACGTGCAAAATTGCTGGCAGTAGAAGTTCAAAATCAATATGGGGGCATCAACTGTCTCCCTTCGAGGCAGGATGCCTCATCTTAAAAACCACCATGCACACCATGTGTCATCTGGTATGGTTACACTTAGGTAGTTTGACAGAGATGGGAGGAACTGGTGCAAGCTGGAAAGAGGTAATTTTCTAGCTCCAGAGTGTCTCCCATATTTTTTTATTTCCAATCCTTTTTCTCTTTTCTGTTTTTACTTCTAACTTCTGGCATCCACTTTCTTTCTTTGTGCAGAAGACACTTAACACTACAGGGTTTTCAGTCCTAGGTTTGATTACAGCACGGAAAGCAGCAATCTGGGGATGCTGAGGGAACTGGGCTCACTCAAGTAGTGATAGTGGTCACGGCACACACTCGCTCCACGCCGTTGGAGTCCACAGAACTAGAACTGGCTAGAACTGCAAATCCTTCTGTATCTTGTTGTAATGCTTGCACAACAATTACTTAATAGTCCAATATGAACCAAAAGTGTATTTTCAGCAGACGAGTTTCCCTGTAGGAATGTCAGTGGTTTGCCATGATTAGTAGCCTAGGTTTGTTGCATTTCCTGCAGGCTTTCTCTTGGGCTTCAGTGACCAGTAAAAACCTGCCTCCTAGTGGTACTGTTTCTTCCTCTGGAATTCCACCCCATGTTAAAGCACCAGTCTCACAGGTAACCCATCTGTGAACACCTTGGATTGTCTCATTACTTCTGCAAACTGCTTCAGTTTTTTAAATTAACAGATCAATTTGTTTGACTTAAATTGCACAAATTAATTGTGTCTTAAATGTTAATGCACTCACCTTTTTGTCGCAAGCGAAGGCACGTACACGTAACAAGTGTGACTTTGGGTGATGGTGACGTTAAAATCTGATCATACAGAAACACAAAATCACTACTGAAATTTTTTTGACCTCTCTTAATGGGATATGGTTTGGTTTACAAGGGAAACAAAACAAAACCAACCCCCCACAAAATGGTAGTGTTCTGAAGTGTGTTTGAAAGGAGTATGTCATTGGCAGAAGTGCCCCAACAGTAAAAAAGGATGGCACCATTTCTGAGGAGGTGCAAGACTGCCTTGTAAGGCTAACATCTATAGAAATATGCTGGATTTCATTATCCATTTATAATTAACTTGTCACAGAACCCTGTACCAACTTATGACTGTGTGAGGAATGGAAGGATTCACATTTCCTTGCCAGGACAATGCTGTCTTCCCATTCCTAGGTTGACTGGGTGAGGAGGGGAAGGAGCAAAGAAAGTTTGACCGGGTGATAGCTCACGGCCTGCACATGCCAAGCTGGTGTGAAATGGTCTGAGACTCTCAATTCAGCTGCCTCCATCTATATAAAACCCTCAAAATAGAAAATGTGTGCTTTAACCTCTTCTGCTGACCCTGCGTCCCAGGCGTGGTCAGTGCAGTCTTTTTAAAAGACTGCAGTTTCAGGAAAGCAGCTGGATTATTGCAGCTGTTGTTTTTCCACTGTTTTTTAACTGACAGAGGAACCTGTCTAGCATTGCCTTCAGCCAAATGCAAGTGAAAAAAAAAATTAAATCCAAAAAAACCAACACCACCTTGTATGGTGTTGCTTCTGGTCTGACAGGGCTGCCATGGAAATCAGATAATGGCTGTGTAATGAGTTGGGAAGCCTGTCTGTCTTCATCAGCTTCAACAGGCCTTTGAGCATTTAGGTGGTATTTGAGCCATAAAAACTGTGGTTTTTCCAGTACAGAATAGATTTTCCTTTTGCAAAACCAAAATTGGTTTTGATTTATTTGCAGTCAAGGGATTGTGGTTTTTGGTAATATAACTGCAAAAATAATTTAAAATTATCTGTACAAGAGAGCAGAATATAGCTTATAGATGTCCCCTGAGACTCTTTTGTGTTGCCTCTGCAGCTTGTCATGCTTTCTGCCCTTTAGGTTGCTTTGGCTGTGACTTTTGTGTAGAAGTTTCTGAACAAGACTGAAGTGTCAAGAGTTAGAACTCTGGGCTCTTCTGGAGACAGAATTAGTCAGTTTTTGGTTCCTTTTCTTGCACGCTTTTCAGACATGGTATAGAGAAAGCTGGCTGAAAAGGCACCTGAACAGTTTCTGCAAGGGGTTTCAGATCAGTGACAGCTTTTTCCTGTTCCCTTGAATCCATTAATGGGAGATTCTGTGCATGTAAATGAGGACAGTAGATTGCACTCGTGGGTGGGTGTCTCTGTTGTAGCCAGCACAAGTGATGTTACAGGGCATCTGTTAACTGTCCTTCTCATTCCTTTCTTTGCATCACTCCAGTTTTACCCTCATCTTTTATCAAGTTGAAAACACAGCCCCTGTAGTATTAACTCAGAACCTCTCCAAGGATTACATACGTACTGGTTTGGATATAAACCAGTTCAGTTCTTGTTTTTTTACAGCTGTGGAGTTAAACAGGTCAGCATTTCTTGCTCTTTTTCTTCTTGTGAGCGATTAGAAATCAGCCTGCCTGTAGGGATGAGCAGGGACTTCTCTTTATAGGATTTTCAAATATTCTGGCCTCCCGTTTGCATTAACACATCAGCTGTCCCAGGGGTTCTGGAGAGGTGCAGGCAGGCAGGGTGCTCCCTGGTTCTTGTCTTCTGGCTTGGAAGTGGTGAGTTCAGGGAAAGATCTGCTTATGGACACTGCCACCTTAAATCTGTTCGGACTCTGGATAGACTGTTCTTTGTGGAAGTGATTGGTGAGTGCCTTTAGTAAGTTGTGTGGTCCACAGTTTGCCTCAGGGCCAGTGTGGCAGCTATCTGAGGTATGCATCTAAACCTAGCTACTGAAATTCTGGTGAGATGATGTGGGGTTTTTTTCTTCTGTTTCATGCCAAGTGTGGTTTCTTGTTTGTTCGCTTGGCTAGTTGGTTCTTTGCACGTATGTGTTTTGATTGTGGCAGGCATCTCACTCTAGAGAAACTGTAAGATTTCAAAAATAGAATAGTACCAGCCTTTGGAGCCACCTCTTCTCTTGTTCTTTCTGTCCCATCCTCCTCTGTTTCGGGGGGATATCCATTTCCCAAGTTGGTGAGCAAAGGCTGACCTGTGGCTGGTTTTGCTGTCACTGCCAGTAGCATTACCACAGCAGAAGGAGGTTCCTTTCCCTCCCCACGTGAGCTCCCGAAGAGAAGAGACAATGTCACCTTTTCCTTAATTGTTCTCAGAGCTCCATTAGGCTGGGGTTTGTGGCACACTTGGCTCCTGGGCTGAGCGCTCCTTTACTTGCTGTTGTCTGTTGAAATCCTTATTCTGTGCCTTTCAGTCCACTCGGTGTGCTCTCTGTGACATGGGAGCTGGGATTCGCTGCTGCTTGGGCTGTGAGTGGCAGCCCTTAGCGGGCATCTTGTGATGCTGCTGATCATTGCAGTGTTTTGGGGGAGCACGCTTCTGCACAAGTGCTTTTCCTCTTCAGGCAGCGCCGGGGAGCGCAGGGGCAGTCCTCCTCTGTTAAAAGGGATGGTACTGATTGGGAAGCAACTAATGAGATGAGCTGGTTGTTGTTTGGGGAGACAGAGAGTGTTTGTGCGACAGCTGAGAAGTTCAGTGAGATGCAAAGCAAGCGGGTAGAAGTTAACTGCTGTTTGGGATTTAATAGAAGGACGTCGGTGACTTGGCAAGTCTCTGCTATCGAAGGAAGGACCGAGTGTTTAAGCCTGATAGCCTTAAGTATGGAAGAAGTGGGGGTCAATGTATTGTATTTTGCTTTTTAGGTATAATTTATAATGCAGTAAAGAGTGTGAGTACAAGACGGCAGGGGAGCTGCAGTGACCCATGAGAAGGTGTAATGAAAAGAGAAGGTTGATTTTTTTAGCTTATTCTTGGAATCGAAAAAAAATGGTCCTAGAAATGGTTGGAAGGACAAGCTAATGCCTAGCTGGGTAGAGCACGAGTGATAGGCAGACTGAAACGTTTATTTGGTGCATAATACCTGCATGTTTCATGTAAAACACAGTCTTTCTTCCCCTGTGAGGTACTCTCTGGCTGGAACTGTCAGTTGTCTTGAGTCCTTAAAGGAAAATAAGGGAGATGTTTCACATGAACTACTTCTCTGTACAGTGTGGGCCTATAGCTGTTGTCCTTGTGTTTAATCTTCCTTGGAGGCTAGTGTTCTTTATGCTCCTAAGGATAATTTTGTTTTTCTAAGATAAGAACCCAGCACAGCAGCAGCTGCTGGACTGTTGCACAGAAAATGGAATTTAAGAACTGTTGGAAATTGCTTCAGTGACCAACAAGCTGCATAAAAATATTTTTCATTGTTCTGTCTCTTTTTCTCAAATTATCTTTATAAGCTTTTTTTGCTTGCAAAAAATGGAATAGGTGTTCTAGGTCCTGAGACTATGAAGGGTGTACTCAGAGCATCATGATCTTGACATCAGGAAAGTTGAAGAATATCCCCATCAGGTAGTCTGTAGATATTGGTCATTTCAGGTGGCTTTATTGTATCAGAAATACTGATTACACTTCTGAGGGCTTTTGTTTTGTTCTCCTCTTTCCTTTTGGTAGTTTCCTTACAGTTGTTCTGCACTCGAGGAAAAAAATCCCTCAGGGACTCAGGCAGAAAATGTGATTTACCCATCTCTGTTAATCTCGGACTAGCTCCCAATCTGTGAAGTTTGAGCTTGGCATGAGGAAGCTTTATTTGATCTCTGTGGGGTTTGTAGTCAGGTTGAGGGACTCTTGAATAACGGAGCGTTGGGGTCTCATTGCCTGGTCAAACATGGAAAATTCACCTTAGCCATGTTTTGGGAAAGACGCTGTGATTGAGGGACGTTGCTTTGCACCTTTTAGCAGAGATAACTGAACACTGCAGTCCTGGATTGGTACAGAGGAATTTCTAGAGGTGAAAAAAATGAATTCCCAAACACACAGACATGGATGTATATCTTCTGGAGTTTGTTTTGTGCATGCCACTTATCTATGTCTTGTGTTGTGGGGTTTTTTTTTTTGGTTTGGTGAGTTTTGGGGGTTTTTTTCTTTACCGGGCCAATATTTAATGATGCACGTTCTCCTCCTGTTTTAGCCAAGAGTTGAAACTAAACCTGAAGCTCAGTCTCAACCTCCTCGTGTCCGTGAACAGCGTCCCAGGGAAAGGCCGGGTTTTCCACCCCGAGGACCTCGACCAGGTAACATGGTTCAGCTTGTGTGTCTGCTTGGGACTAGTTAATGAGAGGTGATGTCTCCTTGATGAGTCTCGTCTGTACCTGTATTGTTCTTAGCTGATAACAAACTGTCCGTGCCTTCAACTAGAAATGGCAGAATATGATTTGGAGTCCAAGCTGGTGATGAGTTGTTACGAAGATCAGCCATTCTTTCCAACCTTCTTTGTTGTTTAAATGTTTGTTAATAGTCAGGCTGCTTGCTTATATGCTTGAGTGCTTTTCATGTGGCTCGATGCAGTTCTGAAAAGCTGGTATGGAAATTTGAATGTTTTTTTCAGTGTCCTCTAATTTTGCTGAATCTTGGAAGTGAGAGCTCTTAAAAACCTGTTGTTGCGCTTTTGTTTTGGAAGAAAACCTTCCCACCGTGTCAGCCTCAGTCAGCTGATAATTTTATACATATTTTTCCATCTTGTGTCATTGTCTAAAATGTCATTCTTGGCTTGGTTGCCTCATGTTTGACTTTGTTTATGAGCAGCCAGCTCTCTGCATTTCCTTACTCATTCAGAGTATCCAAATCTAGAGGATGGTCTGGCTAGAAAACACGCACATTACAAGTCATACAGAAGACATGTAACAGGGCCCGAGTCTTTTCATTCTCATCTTACACTGGGGAGTAGCAGAGGCAGGGGAGTAAAAGCTGAAATCTCAGTGACCAAATAGTAGAGCTTCAGCCCTACGGTCTGATTTTCAAAGGAAGTCAGCGAGCTGCTCTCTCTGCTTGACAAAACCTTTCCAACAAGCTGGTAAGTGCTGTAAATGGGCTCGTAGGGGAAGCTGAGGAGGGAAAGGGGTACCTGCCTACGCTGGAATTCCTCAGGTCCAAAAGGGGTGAGGGTGTCCTGCTGCCACACTGAAAGGCAGGTGAGGATTTAGTAACGAGATAACTGGGGAGATTTTATTTTGCATCCTGCTAAGCATACTGATACTTTGGTTTAGCTGGAAAGAACATGAGGAACTCTCGCTTGTATTTGAGATAAAATGGTGGAAGATGAAAGCCAGGAGAGGTGACTGACACACATTGTTTTTAATCTGAGTTCCAAAGTAAACATACTGGCGTTGTGCTAAGGAACTGATGAAGAGGTGACTTAAATCCAAATCTTTTTTTTTTAAAAAGTACGTTTTAAAAGGTAGTGAGTGAGCTCCTCTTCAGTATGATGATTTAAGATATAACAGCCTCTTAAACAAGCTTGCCCAGTAAGCCAGATGTTTTAGTTAACATGGATTTATTTAACCTAACCAGGGAAACCAGACAAAAAGAAAGAAAATACTTTGTGGTATTATCACAAAATCGTGGGGACTATGTAAAGAGGAAGACAGTATCCTCCCCACTCGAGCTGAAGGTACAGAATTGTTTGAGTGAATGCTCTTGGTGCTGTTCGTAGACGTGTTCATCCAAATCTACACACATCTGCTAACCTCTGTGGCTCTACCTTCTTCTTTCTGTTGACGACAGGGAGAGGGGACATGGAACAGAACGAGTCGGATAATCGTCGAATAATTCGCTATCCAGACAGCCACCAGCTCTTTGTTGGGAACTTACCACACGACATCGATGAGAGTGAGCTCAAAGAGTTCTTCATGAGTGAGTATCAGTTTGGGCTGCAGACACTGAGAAGAAAAAACTGTGTTGAAGTCACGTGATGTTCACTTAGGGCCACACAGGGGAACTTTCACGTGATGTAACACTACCGGTGCTGTCTGGAACAAGCAGAGGGGTGGTCGAGCTGGCCCTGTGGTTTTTGATAACGTGGCTTTTCCCTTGTGTTTTCCCAGGCTTCGGAAACGTGGTAGAACTTCGCATAAATACTAAAGGAGTGGGAGGAAAACTGCCTAATTTTGGTTTCGTGGTATTTGACGATTCTGAGCCAGTCCAGCGAATTTTAGTTGCAAAAGTAAGTATTGGCATTGAATAGCCTTCAGGGGGTGGATGAATGCCTTAATCCCCCAGTACTGCGTGGGCCATCCCAGTTGGCGTGGCTGTTGTTTCTAGCATTCATTCCTCAACAACAGCTGTAAGAAAAACACAGTTTGGGCACACTCATTCTGTCGAGAGCGCTCTGTAGCTCAGGAGAGCTGTGCCAGCCTTCCTCAAACTGCGTCATACCAAAATCAGGGTTTTTGCTCTGCGCATAGACGCCACGTGGAGCTCGAGGATTACTTTTAGAGATCATTTTAAGCTGAAAGTTGAGTACGTGACCTTCTGAAGGGCATCGCACACATCTCTGAATTCTGTGTCCTGGGGCTGAGAAAAAGGAGCGAGGTTATTTGCAGTTGTGACTTGAGGGATTGGAGAAGAGAAAGCAGCAGTTTTCATTTCTAGTATGTGGGAGCACAACCTGGTAGAGCAAGTCTTCAGGAAGTTTAGCCCTGAAGTGAAAAGGCTAAAGACAACCCTGCCCTTACTTGAGAAAGACTTTTTAATTCCTCGCATGCCAAATGAATTTAAAAATGCTGTTCCCTTTTTCCGTAGACCTCTAGGGCTAAGGTTGTGCGCTGCAGGGAACTGCTGACAGTTAGCTTTTGTCTCTCGTGTGTAAGTGAAGGCAGGCTGAGGCATGTGTTGTGTCAATGGACTTTGTGGAACGGTGACTAACGTGTGCCTTGAACACTTTTCCCTGTAAGCCCATTATGTTCCGGGGTGAGGTGCGCTTGAACGTAGAAGAGAAAAAAACAAGAGCCGCTCGTGAAAGAGAGACCCGAGGCGGAGGCGATGATCGTAGGGATATTCGTCGCAATGATAGAGGCCCTGGGGGTCCCCGTGGAATAGTGGGTGGTGGCATGATGCGAGACCGTGACGGAAGAGGACCCCCTCCGAGAGGTGGCATGGCACAGAAACTTGGCTCTGGACGAGGAACCGGGCAAATGGAAGGCCGTTTCACTGGACAGCGTCGCTGACATCTCCACTGCGGGCAGACGGTCTTGGCAGTGGTACATTATCCATCGTGTTTGCATTCTTGTTAATTTTTTTTTATTATTATTTTTTTTTGGCTTTGGAATGTGACACAGCCCTTCTGATCATTTCTTTGATGTGAAAGCATCCTTTGGTTTCCAGTTTAAATTGAGGTGGACGTTCTTTCCCCAGTTTCACAACAGGAGTCACACTGTTAATTTATAAATGTAGACTTGGAGAATTGAGGACTGAAAATAAAAAAAAATAATAATAATAATAATAAAAAAAAGATTAAAAAAAAAAAAGACCGGTTAACTATCTGCAACAGAAGTGATCTAAAGGACATGCCCCATAGAATTCAGATCCTTTCAGTCAAAAACCCTCTGCTGCACATTTTGTGTCAGTGTTACTGTTTCTGCCTATTACTGTTGGAAACACAAATAGTGCAATTGGAGAAGCTTGCCTTTTTTTTTTTCCTTCTTAGAACACTTGGCTCCAAACAAACTCGTGTTTACGCACTCATCAAAATGCACTAATGGGTACTCTGAACTCATTTATATTGACATCTGCAGGAGGCATCGGAGGAGAAAAAAACCCTTCATCCTCTTACTCAGACAGAATAGCTTGTGAAATGATGCGGGCATCTGATCTGCTTGCTGTGACCAACAGATGTACACACACAAACCTTAATAAGACTACAAGTTTATTCCAGAAGGAATCCATTTAGCTGTAAACTAAACAGAACCCAGAGTTTCAAAGTCGTAGCCCTGAGTACGCAACAAGTTTGATAGCTCACGTCAGATTTTTCTATCTGCCCCTCTTCAGTACAGGGATGGCTGCTCAACACACTCCTCCTTCCCCTTTCCCCTTTGATAAGCATTGTACAGTGAAATTTGTCTTGACTGTATTTGAGTTCTCTGGTAATGTAATAAGCATGATGGTGCCTTCTATGAATACATCATTCCAGTCTTGCTGGTGATTTTGTACAGTATGGTGTATGAATTACTGTGCTGCAAAGCCGATCGGCTGCGAAGCATTTAAAGGAAATCATTGAAAAGTTGTATTAAAAAAAAAAAATTTGCAGTATCTTTCAATCAGTAAACGTTGCAAAAATGATCATCCACATTGCTCTTCAATTAACAAGTTCGCCTGGTTTTTTGCAGAGGGGGGGAAGGGAGGAAGAAGGCATCCAAGTAGTCTCCAGGTTGTCTCTTCTCTTTAATCGATGTCAAAGTTAAAGAAAACGGAGTTGAAATCTCTCTTGGGCGTGAATTTCAGAAGTCAGTCAAGAAGGGTGAAGGCTTTTGGCCAGCTCGCGACGGGTAGAACTGAGCATCCTTTGCGAGGGTGAGCTTATCAAACGAGGACACCGCCGTTTGCAGAGAACAAACAGCTGCTCTTAAGTGTTTGCATTTTCCACTCGCGCTCTTCTGAAAACTCCTACTCATTTTGCACATAACTCTCAGCTGAAGGTGACACTCGCGTGGCTCCGGACTGAAGGATAGAAAGGAGACGTCCTCTTCTTCGGCGTGACTGGTGGGTTTTCCCAGTGGAGAGGTCTGTTTCTGGATGACATTCTGGAGCACGTTCCCCTACACTGCAGCTGCAGCAGACAGCAGAGTCGGGCCCGATGCCGGGGCGCACAGCAAGTGCCCGGCTCCGAGGCGGCGGGAGCGAAGGAGGGGGGGTGTTTGCGTGTGCGTCCGTGCGGAAGTGTGACCGCTTAAAGCTGCTTCTGAGCACGGAAGACCTCAAATAAAATACTTGCAATTTCAAGCAGGAGCAGATAGGGCATGGTAGCGATCTGTCTCTGGATTATGCAGTCGCTGGCTGGTTTGGAGGAAGCTGGAAGATTTTGCACGTATTTTTCTGATAGGTCAGGCAAAGCGAAGCAGCATCTGCCTGTTTTCTCCCAGACTCGAGGTCTTCTCTGTTCGCTGGTAAGTCTTGCACTATTTTCATACACTTCCTTATTTTTTTTCCAGGGCATGTTTCTTCCAGTTTCCGTTTTTATATTTCAGTTTTTCATTGAAGGTCTTGCATTTTCAGCTGTTACCTGGAACTCTGTAGTACTTGAACTGCTCGCCACACAACAACACTACTTAGGTTTGAAGCCTTTGGACAAATTGCAGTCATCCATCAGCACTTTGCCACCGGTGCGTTTTCTGTAGCCTTTTTCTTTGTGTTTTTTTCTTTTTCTTTTGTAGTGCTGTGGTGTTTTGCTGCCACTTTATTCATTTGTATGGCAAATGGCAGTGGGAATAATCTCCACAACAACAACAAAAAAACCAACAGAGTATTACAAAGAGCTACTGAGCCATTCTGCTTTCTGGCTTGCTTCTTGTTTAAGTGACACGAACAACCTTTGGAACATCATCCAGAGAAGTTTACATGGTGATAGCTCACCTGCTGTGCTGTGGACTCTTACATGTTCTCGACCCTCTCGGTAGTAAATGTACCTGTTAGAGCAGAGGAAGGGATTCACTGACCATTCCTGTTAGTTGCTGGTGTGTGGATGGTGGGAGTGTTTTGTCATGACGGTTCGATTTCACCAAACTCGCTGACCATCTTGGCTTTAGTAGGTATACAAGACAGTGGATTACCATCTTTATTGCTGTAACGTGTCAAGCATTATATGCTCGTAGATTCTAGTTTAATTGTGGCAGGTGGAAAGTATTTTTACTTTTTAAGTTTCCATTCTGAATGTGTTTTGACTAAACATACCAATAAACTACTGATGTCTGCAGCATTTATCCATGTCCCTAATTTTCTTGACTGCAGGTCGCTCTAGAGCACCGTTTCATCCCTTGCTCTACAGAAAACGCTGTTTTTAAGAAGGTAGTTGCTGGTTTGTCAGATGGTGGCAGCCGTAGTAGCGCCGTGTCACGTACTTTGGTCACAGTGTTTGTCTGGAGTCGATAAGCGCGGGTTTGGGTTTGCCATGGCCGAGTAAACTCCTTTCCTCGATGTCGGCTTAAGAAGACACAAGGGTTGGAAACCCTGCCGGTGCCACTGAGGGACCATGCCCGGTCCCCTCGTGGCTTGTGAGGGGTCGTGGCCTGGGTCTCTGGGGCTGAACGCAAGAAAATTGGACGTGGTTTGTCCATGTCACAGGTGGCTGGGAAGGTGTTGGTCCCCTCGGGCTGGTGGCTCCTCTCACCTCAGGGTGTGAGTGGTCCAGGGAGGATATGTCCCAGGTGGGGCTGTGGGGGCTGCGGAGTCGGGCTTTGGGGCTGCAGCTTAAATGGACACTGTGGTGGTGCTGGGAGGATTGTGAGCTGGGTTGTCTTAAAACCCATATCTTGGGAGTTGCTTGCTGTGAACTTCAGTGTCACTTGTTCTTGATACTGTGGAACTGATTGTTGTACTGCAAGGTAGTCCCTGGTTTTTCCCTTGTGTTTGGTGGCGTTGCCAGTGCCAGCATTTACCCAGAAAGGTTGGTAAAAGGGTTATTCTTACACTGCTCGTGGATAAATGGTGTCTGAGCCACGGAATCTACGTGGAGCTGTTCTGCCCTGGGTGAAGTCTCTGGTAGCTGCTGGCTGCTGTGTCTTGAAGCCCTCTGCTGAGTGCATATCTTGCTAATATTTTCTGCTAAATGGCAGTTGGGAAGTGTCTGAGAAGTTGCACAGTTGTGTGAATTGAAATACTGGAATGAAAAAAAACAAGAGCTTGTAGACGATCCCCTAAGCCCAAGCCACCAAGAACTCCTCTGAGGAGCAGCCTCAACAGCTACAAGATCTGCTGCCACCAAAGATCCCTGAAGAAACACGAACCCCTTGGTGCCACCTCCCGAGGACCTGCAGCATTCAGACCTTTGTATCGCTTTACAAGGTAAATTGTGGAGATCTGCAAACTCTGGGCCTGGGGAGGAGGGAGACGGCAGAGGTAATGGTGTCTGAAACCAAACAAGGTCGGCCAGGAACTAGTTTTACTTGTGCTGTGAAGTCTTAGGTGTTATAAAAATGGTTGAAGAGCACGTTCTCTCAGCAGCCGAGCTGCTGTTTGGGCGTTGGCAGTGGCTGTGCGGAAAGCAGCCTGTACATTTATTTTTTCTTTCGTTTTTATGTGTTTGAAATGGAGCGAGGTGAGAGTGAATCCGTGTGCAGAGTGACGGCTGGGGCTGCAGCGGGGGGAAAAGGGAGGAAATGCCGGGGGCAGCTGGAGGGTGTCAGAAAGCAACGAGTTGGGTGCTGCAGTGGCCTGGCTTGTTCCCTTG